GGAGAAAAATGAGAGTTTATTCAACAGATTCTCCAAGTGACGAGTCCTTCAGTAGTGGGAGTCTGGACTGCGAGTCTGTGTTTACAGGGACCCTATTTGACAATGACTTGAAAGACAATGCTTTCCTAAGCAACAGTTTCTCACTGGAAGATGACATTGTCCCTCTGGATGATTCTGCCTCCGATGAGCTCCCATCGGAATCCCTGCCTGGACTGGAGCCAGAGATTCAGTGTCATTTAGTGGCCTCGGTCAACCTGGGTGAGGTGCCATCCATTGCCAGCTGCATGGAGCAGGAGAAACGGCGTTTCTCAGCCTCCGAACTGATAAACAGACTGCACCTCTCTCAGAAGAAAGTAGCACAAGCTTTGAAGCTGAACAAGTCCCTGCCAGGAAGGTCCACACCTCGAGAGAAGACATCGACTTTCTCCCTTGAAGGTAAGGTTTAACTGTGAAGCAGGAAGAAAGTCTGCACTTTTCTGCACTGGGAGATGGAATAGAGAAACATAACTTGCATTTCAATGGCGTCCTGTCACTTCTGCAGGGGGTTGGTTAGCTCAGTTGGCCTGACGGCTAGTCTGCAATGAAGAGTGATACCAACAGAATAGGTTTACTTCCCGCTCTGGCTGAGGTTATTATGAATCATTCTCCTTCTGAGCCTCTCCCCTCACCTGAGCCGTGGTGACCCTCAGGTTAAACCACGACTAGTTGTCTCTCTCTAATGAGAACACAGCCCTTTGGTGACTTGACCTTTATGTCAAAAACAGTGTCAAAACATTCCCAAATTCTACTGCATGAATTGTTGTTTGAAATTTGGGAAAATGTCAGTCATTTTGCAAAGTTCCACAAACTGTAAGTGATAAATTAATCTTCCTTTTAATGATACTGAGAGAAAGTGACTACAGTCCCAGAGGACTGCAGGCTGCTTTCCCATTAGAGAAAGACTACTGGTAGTGGTTTAACCTCCAGCGAGGGGCATGGGAACCTTTGCCAATGCAGGACCTGAACCCATTACTGTTACTATTACTCTGCATCAGAGAGCAGCCACCCAGCCAACTGAGCTATTCCTCAGGTTGTACACCAGTGCTGGCAAGACCATGAACAAAAACAGAAGTTGCTGGCAAAGCTCAGCAGGTCTGACAGCATCTGTGAACAAAAAATAATGAGAGTTAACGTTTCAGGAAAGGGTCTGAGTTCTGAGGAAGGGTCACCGGACTCGAAACGTTAACTGCTTTTTTTTTCTTCACAGATGCTGCCAGACCTGCTGAGCTTTTCCAGCAACTTCTGTTTCTGCTCCTGATTTACAGCATCTGCAGTTCTTTCGGTTTTTAGCTGGCAAGACCATGTCCTGTGCTGTCCTTTTATGATTGTAAATATTGACCTAGATAATGCAGATGCTTGAACTCAGTAGTTTGTGACTTCGACACCAGATTAGAATTTCCAGAAGAACAGGGCAGAAGAGAGGAGACAACTACAGTTTTGACTGCAATTTTTGCAGTGTTTCCTGGATGGGCAGATTGCTCTGTGAGCTGGAGGATGGACAGCGTAACAACTTCTTTAGTTTAAGGAGGTATGGAAACTGGATATGAATCAGTCAACGCAAAATTAGTCGGTGTTGCACTTTTTATCTAAGGCATTTTGAAAGTCTAAATTGATGGTATCATTTGAACTTCCATCATCCACCAAATTTCCACAAAACTATTCAGCAATTTAGTACAACAGGATCTGCCCAAGGCTGAGGGTTGTGGGGTTTCTGCTGTTAGTCTTCATATCAGTGAATAGGATGAGTCTTAACCCTCAGGTTTTTGGGGTCATGGGGCAGAATGGGGAATAAGGCGCAGGATGTGCTCCCTTTTCTTTTGATCTCTACCACCGTGCTGCCTCATCTTTAAGATGTTGAGATTCAAAGCACGAGCCAGATTGATGGACAATTTGCTGCCATTTTGAATGATTGAACGAACAAACACTAGGTACCCTTCTTGAAGCCACCTCTACAAGCATTCAGGCAAAACTCTTGCAAAAATCAACTTTGCTGGGCTTGCCACTGCTTTTGTTTGATGCTCCTCCCATTGAACACAAAGGATACAGCAAAAAACAATGCCGATGGAACTTCTCCAGCAATGTTATGTGTTACTGATACACAGTCCGGGTCTCACTGCAGAACAGGGCTGTGAGGACGACAGCTGTTCTGTACGGCTAGGGCCATGATGGGTTCCAGTATTTCTCCAAAGTGTGAGCACAAGCATGTGAGGTGGCCAGCCCTACCACTGAGAAAACTCACCCAATCACCCGCCAGTCAGCTCAATTAGAGCCAGCAGGCTGGACAAAGGTGAATATCTCAACCAATTGCGGCCCTTGAAACTGGCAGATCCAGTCGCCCAGAAGCTATTGGCAATTCAGAGGCTGGTGGTTTCTGGATCCTAAAGTCTGCCAGTTGAGGCCTACACCTCGGGGAATTCAGCGGCGAGAAGATAAGTCATTTCTATCTTTTTGATGTGTTATGGGGGTCTAGAGGCCAGAGGTAAGGGTAGGGTGTGACTTTTCTCAGACTGGGGCTATTGGAGGCGCTTAACCCCACAGGCAGGTCACCATGGTTTTCCACTCAGGAAACTAGCCCGCTGGGGCAACAGGTGATCAGGGGAGGTGACAAGTTTGATGCCCTTGGCTGGCCATTCATTGACCACTTAAGGGTCTTAATTGCTGGCTAGTCGAGAAAATGCCATCTTGGACCTTCTTGCCCAGCACTCAATTGCTGAGGTAGCAAGAAAGAGGTCAGTTCCTCTCCAGGGGTATCTCATCCCATTATTTCCTCTTCTTAACATCTCTCTCGTCACCTCCATAGAGGGAAAATCCCACCCATAGGATTTTTCTGAAGGTCTTTGTTGTCAAACACTCACTTGTCCTAAAGTGCAGGAGGCTGGTCCTCATCAATGATGGCCTTTTGAGAGAGGTGGCTGCCAAGGTGTGGGAAGTGTTCGACATATTCCGGAGTCTCTCCTTCAACATTTATGGGAGGTGAAATATTTCGCTGATGATGTGTGATTGAAGTTCAATGTATTATATTCAAATTTTGTTTTGGGAACATTCGCTCAGTTTCTTGTAGAATTGGAGAAAGTAGCTTGCAAAGATGGTGCACAGTGAGCAAAGTCACTCTAATCATCTGCATACTGTTGGCCGTCTATGTCGATGGTGGTCACTTTGGTTTTGGAAGAGAGGCAAAAAACAACGGTTAAAGACTTTACCATTTAGGCTGTTTGAGGTTCGATGAGGCGAATAATCAGGAAGGCACCAAAGTCTTCCAAATACCACTGAATAAGGGCATAACCTGCAGTGTCATGAGATTAAGTCTCATAATGGCTGCTGGGGGAATTAAAATTTAAATAATTGACAGATGTGGAATGGAATCATCAAGTTCCCTCCTAGACTTGTTACAGAGATAGTAGGAACTGCCGACGATGGAGAATCGAAGACAACAAGTTGTAGAGCTGGATGAACGCAGCAGGCCATTATGAGACTTAATCTCATGACACTGCAGGTTATGCCC